GAGGGGCGGAGGGGCAGCTTCCCCCCCACAGCCGGCCCTCGGCCATCCGCTCGCCGGTGGAAGAGCCGCTCGGACCAGCAATTTCTATCCCGGAAAGAACCGGCTGCCGGGCCGGCGGACAGCGCGCCGGCTTCTCGCGGTCCAGCGTCGTCTTCCCAGCGCAAGGCCGGGCCGGCAGTCTCCGCGCCACTCCTGGCCGGGGCAGAAGGACCTCGCTTGCTGGGCCTTCCACTGGGGGGGCCTTTTCTAGGGTTCCGGTGACAGCCAGCAGGTGCGCCCCTCCTTTCTGGGAACAGCGCCCTCTTCCTCCAACCCGAGCAGAGAACACTGCGCACGTTTGGCAGTGAGCGCCTGCACCTGCCCTCAGCCCGCTGCAGCTACGCGGGAGGTGCGGTCGCTTCTCTCTGTTGCTGCTTCTTACACTCTCCTTTCCGTACTTGATTCTTTCTGGACTGCCTAGTTTCGGGCAGTGAGTGTGGGGCAAGAGTTCTCTTCAGAGACACCGAACGAAGACAGACATATCTAACAAGACCACGGCGCGGTCACCGGGTGACTTCCACAGCAACAGAAATGACAGTGGGAGCCTGCAGGGCTCCAGGGCACAACGGAAAAGCCTGCACACAACCACGAAGTCCTGCCTAGATCAAATCTTTGTTTGAAGCTTTTTAGGAGACAGGATCTCGCTGTGTAGCCCAGGCTGGCCTTGAAGTAGTGGGCAATCTGCCTGCCTCAGCCTCCTGAGTGCCATGCCCAGCAAATCTTAGTTTTAAGTAGAAACAAAATCTGATGGTGACGCCATCTCCTACTTCAACAGAAACTACCTGAGACTTCCCAAGAGCTAGCCAAGCACACGGGCAAGAATGAGACAAGACCCTTAAGGGTGTTAGCTGGTTTTTGTGACAGGTGACAGGTGACAGAAATCCCCATCACTGCTGTCTATACCTAGCGATTCATTCATGTGGTTTCAGGCCCAAAATGAGCACCTCATGCGTCCCTCCTGAGCCTTCATGACCTCTCTCTCTTGTTTTTTTGAGACATGGGATCTGTATAGTTCAGGCTGGCCTTGAACTAGTAGTCCCTACTGGCCTCCAAGTTTCCGAGATCCTCCTGGCTCAGCCTCCGGAGTGCTGGGATTGCAGGCCAGCGACACCACGCCCGGCGCTTCATGACTCTTGACTCTTCCATCTGAGGCAATGCTTGAGCTTGTGCGGGGAAGTTCTGCACATTTCTGTCTTCAGGTTCCGTTTTTACTCCGCCTAACATTAAAATTTTACCGGCAGAAACACAAGGAAGTTCTAACTCCACTAAGATCTTCTGTATTGGAAAAAGTTTCTTTCTGTTTTGTGTCAGAGTTGCCGCAGCCCTCTCTGCTGGAGTATCTGCTCGCCAAGGCAGTTCTCGAGAGGAGCCTGGAAGAAGTAACTGTGACCGGTGGCAACACCGCTGAGGGTGGGGCTGGAAACTGGGCTGCATCCGGACACATGCTCTCCCGAGGTGGTCAGAAAACGACCCCACGTCCCAACCCCCGGCAGCCTCCAGGAGAAAGCTGTCGAGGGAACTAGAGTGCGCGACACGCTCACTTGATGTATTAATTGTGAACGAATTAAAGCAAACTTATGTTAGGGTCACCTCTGTGGCCCCCTTTACGCTTGTTCTGTGGCCCAGGGATTGGCTTGCAGGTGCCAAGCGAGGGCTCCACCGCCAGCAGCTTCCCAGCCCCGCAGCGCCCTCTTGCGTCCACTAGGAGAATCTGTGAACCGTGAACTGGATGGGATCCGACTGAGCTACCAACGTCCTGAGAACATCAGGCAGATAACATGGCAGGCTAGACTGTCACGTATTGCTTCTGTCAGTTTGCTTCCTGTGAGTCAGACAGAGATGGGAAAAACTTTCTTCACAACTAAGCCAGGAGTGTTTCTTTTCCAAGAGAAGAAAACAGATAAGCAGGTCTGACAGAAGAAACATTTAAGAATATGGGAAACATTTCTTCTCACAGACTCAGCTACTCACACAACGAAAATGTTCTGTGTGACCACTCAGGAGCAGACAAAGAAGAAAGTGAGCGGCTGTGCCAGGGCACAGGGCAAGGACCCTCTGGCCAGGCGAGAGGGAAGAGCGAACGAAGGCGAGAGTCCGCTGGAGAAGAGGGGAGAAATGTGCTACTTTGTAACGCAGACAGGAAAACTTGAATAGGCAAAAGAAGAGAATAGCCAAGTTTAGTAATGGAATGAGAAAATAATTCCGAGCTCTAACAATCATTTATATTTATACTCAGTTGTAAACATGTAAGAAAAATCCAGGGCACAAAGCTCAGTTTTAGGGTGCAAATACAGTCTTGCTGTATTCTGCAAGAGAATGCGCCACTAAACTAAAATAGCACTCAAAGCAACACAGACATGAAGCTTTCTGATAAACTAGACTCTCTATGTGCAAAAAAGCAGACATAAAATACCTAGGAGTGTCCTTATCAAGAAAGAGCCTGCAAAAACACAGAAAGGCTTTTGTTAGTGCAGCAACAAAATCAACAGCAACAAAAATAAAAATGAAAATAAAAAGAGAAGCAAAAAAGCAAACACACACACATATAAAAGACTAATACAAATTTGCCTGTGAGCACAGTGACCTCAAGCCCACTGGTAACTAACAGACCTGGGGACACAATGTGGCACGGGGCTTACAGTGACACCGACCCTCCCCTGCAACTGTCAGTGAAGGAAAGCGGGCACAGAGATGTGCAGACCGTCTGTGAACAACACTTCAGCAGGGACCTGCTATTAGGAATGGCGCCGAGAGAAAGCCCTGTGAGTCAGTTCGCCGCAGGACTGGGGAGGAAACGCTCCTGGGGAGTAACGCTCCTCGTCAACTGCCCTCCAGCGTCAGTGTGTCAGCAAAGCCTTGTAAGACGCACCCCACACACTGCACTTCTGCAGTCCAGCGGAACACATGCAACCCTCCACAGAACAGAAGCTCTCCTGGCCAAACTCTTTTTACAACTCACTGCATCAGCTTGCGTTCTCCATTTCCTAGACCTGAACCCTCACACCCTACACTGCAGACGGGTCTCCTGCATCCGGACAGCAATGCCCAAGGGTCTGTGTGCTTGTCACGGCTTAGCAGTACACAGATGGCCCAACCTGTTCACACCACTCATGCTTACCAGGATCACCTAACCTGACTAACATTACGAAATCAACGAAGAGCCAGGCATGGCGGCACACACCTGTGATCCCAGCACTTGGGAGGCTGAAGCAGGAAAATTGCCATGAGTCCCTCAACTCTGGAGTGCTGGCGTTACAGGCAGGTACCAATGCACTTGGCTATCACTTTTGATTTTAACCAACTCTTTTTTCCTGCCCTGTTGGGGATTAAACCCTGGGAGCTATATCCTAATCCCTTTTATTTTGAGACAGGGTCTTGCTAAGTTGCCCAGGATGGCCTTGAACTTGTGATCATTCTGTCTCAGTCTCTCAAGGAGGTGGAACACCACATTCTTTTGCTTAACTCTAAACTTCTGTTATACAGGAGAAGCTGCTTCCACAAAGCCACGGTAGCCTCCTGCTGCATCTGACCTGCTGCTGGGCGAGAGTCCGAGGACTTTTCAAGGTTCCTCTAATGCAGGCAAACTGAGCAGGCCCGCCCTTCACCCTCTTCCCTGCGGGTTTCGTTAAGTACCCGAGGGAAATGTCAGATGCTTGTTCACAGTTGCAAAGCAAGTCCAGAGGTGGTGGTGAGCCCCAGCTGAACACTGGCTTTCCATGTCTAGTGAAAGGCAGCATGCCGTGTGGAGAGGCTGCCGGCCTCGGGGAAATGGTATCCACTGGCCACGACGCTGCCTGGGGAGGGCAGCGCACCCCTCTTTGTCTGCCTCCCCTCCGCGGACGCACCCGACACTCCTTCCTCAGGCCCTGCCAGCTCCTCTTGCATGCAGAAAAGCAAGCAGAAGCGTGTTCCTTTTTTTCTGTTTCCTATGAAAACTGAAATACAGGAAAGAAAGGAATCCTGGCCCCAAGCTTTTATTCTGCTTCTGCCTGTGGTCTCACTTCCCAACACAGATGTGCGTACACTTCTCAGAGCAGACAGCGCACAGGGGTCCCATCATGGGCAGTGTCTTGGTCCACACCCACGTCCCTGCGGCTCCTGCTTCCCAGCCCTGAGAAGCCAGCAACTGAGTCCCTTCCTGGGGAGGCAGAGGACCAAGCAGCCTGAGTGCCAGGCTCAATGGGAAAACAGGATGGCCAGGCACTTCATGAACGTCTGCCATCCTGTGTTAGAGCGAATTGTAAGAAAAGCCAGTGTAACTTGTGCACCGCAGGGCCGTAACTTCCGTCTCATCTGATGTTACATAGCTAACCACCTGGGGGTCAAGCCAGGGGAACACGTTAGAGATGAAAATAAAATCTGTTATTTAGAGCAGCCAGTCTTAGTCATGAGAGTTTCTATTAATCTGTCAATGTGACGCATAAGCAGGAACCAGAAGTGCTGACTGAGCCTGTTCCAGCAGTGGCAAAGGCCCACAGAGCGGCGTCCCTGTCCCGCGGAGGGCCCGCTCCACGCCACTGAGCACCAAGAACACTTCCTCAACAGCCGCCGTGTTATCACAAGCCGCTTAGCCTTAGTGTAATCGTCCTTTAACGCGGGGCAGCGTGCTCAACTTTGTTTGGATTTTTTTCTCACTGAGTTACATCCCCTTGAGCTCCATATGGATACAGCGTTCTGTGCCCTGGGGTAACTGAGCACACAAGCATCTCCAGTCACTGCTGGCTTTTTTTTGGAGAGCAGGAGTGTATGGGAGGAAACAGGGATTTTCCAAGTGAGAACAGCAATGGTTTCTGCATCTACACAGAAGTCACAAGCAAATAAGGGATGTGACACGGTGCCCGCGCCTTGGTGCCCACCTGCTGGAGCTGTGCGAAGCCCTCAGGTACTTGGCAGAGACGATGTTTAGGGAGAGGATGGCGTCAACCGCGGCTTCATCCACCTCGGGTTTATTTCTAATGCGGCCTGCAGGAAAGGGTGAAGACACCATGTAGTGGGCACATTAAACACAAGGCATAAATTCCCGGGGCCAGAAAGTGACTTTCCAACCTCTAACTGCAGGTGCTGCAGAGCGTTAGGCTACCCACCGGATCCTGCCTGTTTGCCGCAGCGGCCCCTCCCCGCCACACTGATTCTGTTCTGAGATTCCATCTCTGACGCTTGCCCCAGCTTTTCCTTGCAGGATCACGTCCCGCTCGCTCACACAGGCCATGGCCCCTCGGTCTGCAACCTGGCAGCCGCCCATCTGGTCTCCTTGGTGTCGCGTCTCCCCTCTCCCACCAGCCCCGCCCTCATCCCGCAGAAACCTCTGGGCCGCTGACTCGGTGTCCCATCCTCTCCCTCAGATTGCTACCACTTTGCCTCTACATGCATGCTGAGGCGGGCAGCACTGCAGGGAAGCTAAGAGCACCTCCAGGGCTGACTGCGCGCTCAGGCAAGGCTCTGCTCTCGCCAGCCGCCAAGCACGGGGTTGTCTTCCTCCTTCTCTGCACCTTGGGTTCTAATAGTACCAAGTCTTCCCAGTCACGGGGGTTAAATAACATAGCACATTCAGAAAGATACCGCAACATGGTGAACAGTACAACAGCCTGTCAATCAAATAAATCCTAGGGCTCTTCAGAGAAGCCTACAACCACTGCCTCTGCATCCTCCCCTGCCCTTTCTGGCAAAAGCATCTTTTCTGTCTTGCATATCAGTACTCCACATAAAAATTAATTTTTGGGGGGTACTGGAAATCAAACTCAGGACCTTGCACTTGCCAGGCAAGTGCTTGTGCCACTGAGTAAAACTAATTTTCTTTGTTTTTGTTTTTGTTCTTCGTCTTTTTGAGACAAGGTCTCGCTATGTACTTCAGGATGGCCCTGAGCTTACTTTGTAGCCCAGGCTGGTCTCGAACTCGCAACGATCCTCCTGCCTCAGCCTCCCAAGTGCTGGGATGACAGGCGTGCGCCACCAAGCCTGGCTAATATTAATTTTCAAGAAACTTGAAAACAACAGCCCCAGCAGGAGAGTATAAACTCCCTCTGGGTTTCTTCATCTGGCCCATGGAGAGACAGCACTTCTATGGACAGAATTGAAGGTGTCCATTGGTTTGGATGGGGAAAAGATTATGTCTTTTTGAGACAGGGTCTCACTAGGCAGTTCAGGCTGGCCTTGTGCTCACTTTGTAGCCCAGGCTGGCCTCAAACTCGCAAGGATCCTTCTGCCTCAGCCTCCCAAATGCTAGGATTACAGGTATGCACCACCACACCCGGCTTCATAGGTTGGTTTCAGACTTGCGACAATATTTCTGCTTTAGCATCCTGAATGCTGGGATTACAGGAGTGTGCTACCATGCCCAGCTTTCTTTTTTTTGGAGACAGGGTCTTGCTATGTAGTTCAGGCTGGCCTTGAACTCACATGTAGTCTAGGCTGGTCTCAAACTTGCAGGGATCTTCCTGCCTCAGCCTCCCAGGAAAAAGGTTACATCTTTAACTGAAATTTGGTGTTTCCTTAAGCTTTGGAGGGCAAGTTTAACAGTGTCAGTAACTGTGTCCTCTGTAGAAACCGCAGATGTTTCCCTATCAAGCTAACCTAAAGTATCTTTTCCATTCATCACCACTGTGAAATGATACAAACTAGATCTACAACTAGATCCTGTTATTTAATGGAACAATAGAGAAGAGCTCATATTACAAATCTATTTAATTCTTCTTAGTTTATATTTCAATTCATTAGTTTCTTTCTTTCTTTTTTTTTTTTTTTTTGGTACCAGAAATCAAACTCAGGACCTGGCACTTGCCAGGCAGGCTCTTGTGCCGCTGAGCTATATCCCCAGCCCTCAATTCATTAGCTTCTTTTCTAATTCTAAATACTTTACTGTCCTCAGTTAAAAACATCATAATTCTGAGCCAGGCGTAGGGAAACACATTTGTAATGCCAGCAACTAGGGAGGTCAAGGCCAGCCCAAACTACATAGGGAGACCCTACAAACATGCAAAACGGTAATTCTGAGGCTTCACCACAGCCTAAGAGGTCATGACAACCAAAGGTTCTGTGCTGCTGCCTCAGACTTCTCTACGGCCCACACTGTATCTAGGAACACACTAGGGTCTATAGCTTGCGCTGGGGCACACATGCCTCTTTTCCCCACTCGAGTGTCGTGCATCCGGCACACTCTTGCCTTTCTATCTGGGAAGTCAACTACCAAAACCCTCTCAATTCTGCACCTATTCAGAGCCTTTTCCTCGGAGTCAATCTAGTCCTCCCGGACGGCTTTTGGTGGTGATTCTCCTAGCACAGGTCTCTTGTGCTCACTTTGGTACTCACTTATCCACTGTTTTGCCCGTGTGTCTGTCGTCTCCCTAACTCCCTGCAAGCTCATAAGAGACTTATTTTATGCCCTCTCCTCTCCTCTTCAGCAAAGAACCATAGCCACTGTAATGAGGTGAAACAGTGGTTAGATGGAGGCGAGCTGGGAAGGGTTTCACCGTGAGAGAGAGATACACGGTTGGGACTGAGGCCCAGGCCTTGTGCATACCAGGCAAGTACTCTGCTGCTGAGCTGCCTGCTTAGCCCCACGACAGAATCCAAACTCAAGGCCTTGGTCCCCTCCACAAGCTGTGTTCTCCAGTGCAGTCTTCCACACACTTCCTGGCTCCAAAGAGGGCACAACAATACCTCTAAATGCCAGGCTCTGCCCTCAGGCAGCGGAGTGCACTCACCAACCACCAGCTCCCGGACATCTTTCCAGTGGAGCTCGCTCCCCTTCTCGTGGATAATGGTCACCGTGATCCTCCGCTGGATGCCCTAAGGGAGGGCACAGAGGTGCAGCTCAGCTGGGGCGATCCACCATTTCCCCTGCTTGCTCTTTTCTGGATTGTACGCTGGGGGTGGGCAGGAAGGAGAGGTGCGGAGGGAGGGGAAAAGCCGGCCACCCCAGGAGACAGGGTCAGGGTGTGAGCAACAGTAAGGGTCTGATCTGTTCTGAAGAGTGGTGTGCTGATTTTATGTGAGCATGGGACTTCCAGCTCCATCCCGCCTGGCTCCGAAGCAGTTCTGAGCACCTAGTGCACATGTTTTTGATTTACCAAAGGGGATGATACATTTGAAAATCAGAATTTTAGTCCTTTGAAACTCTTATCCTCTACCCCTGTTAAAAACTTTTGGCTGTGAAAGCATAGAGCTTTCAAACGTCGTGAAGAGCATAAGAAAGTGACAGGGGAGCTGCACAAATGACAGTAACTGAAGGAAATAAGTTCTTTTTTCAAAATAGCTATTCTAAAATATGAAGCAAGGGTATACAGAAGCCAAGGCCTGAGGAAGGAACAGGAAAACAGTGTATAAGCCCTCCCCAGTTCCCTCCCACCTTTGAAATAGAGAGGAAAGTTGGCAAAAAGAAAGCACTCTGCTCCTTATTCTACACTCTTCAGTGTACCTCCCAGGCCCTGTCTTCCTCCTGCCTTAGTACCTGGTGAAGCAAAAACGTCCCCTGGCAGGGCAAGCCTGCAGTATGGTCAACCACAGCCGGGATGTACCTGCGACAGAAATGCAAAGGACGAAAGTAAGTGTGGTGACATCTGCGAGGCCTTCCCTGGTCCCTGCGGCCCCATCTTTGGCTGCCCCAATGTCTCTCCTGTTGGCATTTAATCAGCCAGCCACCTGCATCTATAGCTGTTCCTGCTCATCCATGTCTCACTATTCTTACTAATGTGCTCAAAGCATAGCAGTGTTACTTGTTTCTACCTCTGCCCCATGCATAAATATTCAGTAGGTAATATACAAGTGCAATAGCAATGGACAGGAAATATGCCTCTCCCTCATAATACAAGTCACAATCACATCACAGATCTGTCTATCAAAGCCACATTCCCCAAAGTGATGTAGTTCCAGGCAGACTTATACAGGATTGACGTACCACTGTCCTACACATAATAAGGAAGGACTTCATACATGCTTCCTGCTGAGAAAAACAACAGTGGTTCTCAGTGTTTATACACACAGGAACATTCAGGAAATTTTTTTTGTCTGTTTGTTTTTTGAGACAGGGTCTTGCTATTGTAGTTCAGGCTAGCGTTCAACTCACTGTGTCACCCAGGAAGGCCTTGAACTCACAGTGATCCCCCTGCCTCTACCTCTGGAGTGCTGTGTGCCAGCACGCCCAACACTTTCAGTAACATTTATTCCCTGCCCTTTAGTTGAACAGATACAGTCCCCTGCCTCTGTTTCAGGGGTAGGATCTCTTTTGCATTTTTACAAAAGCCTTTAGAGAGAACTATGAACAACAGTTATACTCATCTCTTGCTCCAACACAGCTCAGAGAGACAAGTAAGCTGATGTTGATCATACTGATCTAAAACAGAAGTTCCTAACACAGCCAACAACAGAGGGGTGACTTTGACCCCAAGGGACACCTGGCAATGTCTAGAGACATTTTTGGTTGTCACAACTTTAGGATAGAAAGTACTGGCATTTTGTAGAGAGAGGCCAGATACTACGAATATCCCATAACATATGGGACAGCTGCCCACAGGGGAGAATAATGTGGCTCAAGATAGTGCCAAGGTTGAGGAACCGTGGTCTGGGGCAACGTTCTGCCACAGATCCCCTCACTGACCATATTTGGCACTGCCCGCTCCTGCTGCTTTGCTTGTGATAAAACCACGATGTGATGCTCTGCCCTCAGCACCAAGTGCGTCTCCACCTCCTTGCTGTTGCTAACGAAAAGGCAAGTTATTATACTGCGTCCTCAGTTCCCTGGCAAACATCTGACCAAAGAAATACACTATGATCACGAAAATTCAATTCAAAATAGAATGCTGGTCATGAGAACGATTCATGAACCTGCACAGAAGAGACTCAAACTTGTGTTTCCTAACCTTGAAATACTACATTTAAAAGTTTAGAAAGTTGGACTTACTCTCCGGTAGGCTCCAGTTCACTGATCTCAAACCAAACCAAGAGGTCATACTTGCTCATGCTCTGGCCAAGGCTGGTTTTGCTCATGGTGTTTAACTTGGTGGCTGGAACTTTGAAAAGATTTTAGAAAATGTCAAAATGTGTCCACGCATACTTAGCAAAGCACCCAAGGTCAGTCTTCAAGGACACACTTGGGGAAGGCAGCAGAAGCCCCAAAGAAGTATCAGTATCAACCGCACTAGTGCCTCTGGTTCAGGGAACAAGGGACATGGGTAGTCACTACCTTTCCTTCTCAAAAGACTGTCTCCAAAGATAACAAATGGGTTTTGTGTGAAGTAAAAATGTCCCAAAGACCATTACAAAACCCTGGCATTCCAGAGTCTCCCATTCAGCGGCCTGTCATTACCTGGGCGCAGCGTGGGAGACACAGGGTCTGGAAAGCAGCTGGGGACAACCTCACGCGTCCTGGGATTCACAGGAACTTGCGAGGCGGAGCACAAAGACAACTCCAGCCCAGGGGCTTCCGACCTCCCTCTGCCTAACGTCATCTGGGATTTTATTTACTTTTGTGGCACTGGAGATTGAAGCCAGACTGAGCTATATGGTCACCCCACATCTTAAAGATGGCAAGGCCCAGAGAATCAAATCATAGGCTCTGGGGGTGGGACACAGTCACTCATCCTAGGCTTATGTTTCTCAGCTGACTCCAACGTGCAGGCAACTCTACAGACCACTGGTTTAATCTGTAAATGCAGGGATCTGTAAATGAGCTTCTGTTACATTTTCTTCAGATTTAAATCCCCCTTCCTGACAGTACTGATGCTCTGCAACTTTAGTTAGGATGCCTCCCCCTGTTAGTCTGTCTCCGAAACTTTCAAAATGCAGGTCATAAGGGACAGGCCACTAACTTGAGCTATCACAAAGGCCACAACGTAATGCACTTGGGGCTTTTTCAACCATGCAGCACTGTTGAAGCAGGCCGCCTATCAGCAGCACTCACCCCAGCTGGACTTCACATACCCTGGTGACACTGGTCAGGAAGAGCATGCAGTCAATGCTGCTGGCAGCCAGCTAAGGGGCAGTGAACAGAACCACAGGGCCTAAAAGACCCATGGCTGGGGATGTAGCTCAGTGCGACAGCACTTGCCTAGTGTATATGAGGCTTCAGATTGGATCCCCAGCACCACAGAAAAAAACAAAGCCCAAGCCCAAACCCAAACCAAACAAAAAAGCAATTACTAGTAAAAATCTTCAAAATTAAAAATACTATGGCAGGGGCTGGGGATTTAGCTCAGGGACACAGCGCCTGCCTGGCAAGCGCAAGGTTGTGAGTTTGATTCCCGGTACCAGAAAACAAACGAACAAACAAACAAACAAAAACCTATGGCAGGGAATCCAGACAAAGAGAGAGCCTGCCCCCTGGGCTGACATGGAAGAGGCACAGGTGGTGGGGCTTCCTAAAGCCTTTCTGGAGGGAATGTGGCACGATCCAGATAGTGTGGTGAACTCTACGTTTAGCTCAAGAAGCAGACAGAAGCATCAGCGTTTCATTCCTGGTGAGCCAGGCTTGAGGGCCAGCCCCAGAGGTTGGTTCTACATCTAGAGCAGTGCTAAGGCAGCTACTAACCATCTCGTTTGGGTACCCTCTCGCTCTGGCAGCTGGGCACTGGCAGAAAGAGAAAAGGCGGCACCGGGTCAGCCTCCTTCTGGAAGGTGCCAACAGCGGAGGATGCAAGCACACTGGCGTGCTCAGAAAACACGTCCAGCACATGCACATTCACATAGCCAGACACGAGAAACCGAATCAGCGCAATCTTTCGTTCATGGTCTGAAGGTCGCGGTGATGGAGCCGAGAAGCATGGAGAATGCAGAATGAGCGTAGGTGGGGAGAAGTGTGACAACGGGGCAGGATGGAGAAAGGATGAAAATAAAGAAAAATCAAAACAAGATAAAGGAGGAGAAGCAAGTTCAAGTCATAGTATTCTAAGGGTGATTAGAATTAATACTGTGCACTTCAAAATAGCTAGAGAAAGGACTCTGAATGCTCTCACTACAAAGCAATGACCACTGTTGAAGGTGTGGGTTATGCTAATTATAATGCTGTATACATGGTATACATGTACTGAACATGTACAGTTAGTACGTGCCCGTTTGCTCTAAAGAAAACAAAGTAACAACAAAAACAACATGACTGGACATGCAGAATATATTCAACATGCAAAGAAATGCTCAGTCACTGATAGTGAGGGGGGAGCTGCACACAAAGCAATGATTTAGGAAAAGGGATGTTACGAAAATCTGCTATAAGACCAGAGAACCAACAGAGACAGGGCCCTATTACTTCTTACCTTACCTCCGGAACCAAGAATTCTAGTTCCTGCTAGATGCATTCAAGGAAGCACGAGTACGTAAGGGTACACGGAAGAGGAGGAAGAATCCCAGTGTGATTTTTATCTGAACATCACCAGAACAAGGATGTGTCCACACAGAGAACATCAGGCAGAGCAGAGCTGGGGCTCACCTGGCTTGGAGAGTGGCATGGGCGGAGGGAAGAATCGTCGGGAAGGCTGAGGCGGACTGCAAGGAAGGGAAGAAAAACATCTTTAGGACTTAAGAGTTGGATCCCGGTATTAATGCCATGTTTCAGCTCTGCATGATACCAGCTCTCCAACCTAATCCCACACGGTAATACAGGCTACTGCATCTTAATTAAAGTTCCCTGTAAATCGCAGCTAATGCTGACACCAGCACCATCCAGAAGCCCCTGGCTTGCTCTCCTCATCCATTCTAGTAACTCCACTTAGAGCATCCACTTCATGAAACTGAGGGATTTTAGAAATAATTATACACATTCTTCATGTTACATTCCTATTACCCTAACTTCCTAGCCTATTCAAACTCTCTTTACACAAAAAAGTGGCATTTAAACTCATGTGGGCAAAATTCAATTTGCTCTGTCTAAAATAGTAATTAGGGAGCTAGAAAAAGGTAGTAAAGTTTCTCAAAAGGAAACAGAGGTGTTACGGTTTGTGTCTGGATGTGCCCCCAAAGACTCATGTACAACCCTTTATGCAAAAGGCATTTTAGTCTATCTCTAAGAGTTGACAAAGTCCTAACAGTTTCAGCATTGCTGAAAAGTCCAAGTCCCAAATCTCCTCTGAGTCATAAGGCAAATGCTTAGCTGTGAACCCCTGTACAAATGAAAACAAGGTTAAACACTTCTAATATTCAATGGTACAAGATAAACATTGCCATTCCAAAAGGTACAAACAGGGGAACACAAAGGAATGGGTCCAAAGCAAGTCCAAAATCCAGCAGGGCTAACATTATGTCCTGTAGTTCCATGTGGAACATGAGAAGCAATCTGTGGCAATTGTGAGCTCCAAAGGGCTTGCGTGACTCCACCCCTATGGCACTTCTGGTGGTTACATCCCCCTTGGCTTCTCTCTTAGGCCCACTTTGCTCCCTCCTTGCAGCTTTCCTTAGATTATCCACGTTCCTGGCTTTTCCAATCTTCTGAGGTCTCCATTGCACTTCTTACTTCATACTCACAGCTTTACACACTTCCTTCCCAGGGGCACACTGCCTGGCCTCCCAGGCCTTCTGAAATTGATGTGGAAGCCTCTTTAACCTCAGAACTCTTGCATTCTGTAGGCACCTAAAACCAGTGCCATGTGAGTGATGACATGGTCTGCTGCCACCTGGAGCAGTAGCCAAGCTTTCCTCTCTTCTGGCCATAGGGGTGAAGTGCCTGGATCGCTGAGCACTCTAAATCCAATTCTGAGGAACAAATTCTCTATGCTGCTGCCATTCTGGAACCTGGTGTGGCTGCTGCTGCCATTCTGGAACATGGTGCTCAGTGGTTTTCTTCTCTTTTTTTTTTTTTAATTTTTTTATTT